TCTCGTGCCAGTTGCACGCTTGGCTGGACCCTGGCGAACGAACCTGGGCAGGCGCATCTTTCCCTTCTAATTCGCTATCAGGTTGTGTTGTTCGCTAATCATTGCAATGTGAATTTTCTAAGGTTGGAGCTCGGTAGGCAAAGGCTCAGCAATGCTGTTGTAGAGGACCATGCAGAAGCTATCTACCGAGGCTTTCAATTGTGATGCTTTCTTGGGTCTGGCGCCAAACCGTGTGTCAATCTGACCAGCTCGGTCTGTTCTATGGCTTGATATGCCAAGTAGTGATTCAAAGCATTGCCTCTTCAGCGGTTTTCCCAGAAAGTGATACTGCCTCCGGATGTCCTTCTTGACCGGTCCATCACCTTGTTGGGAGGTGGCAGCCAAATGTATAAGGGCGTCCTGTTCCAACTTGCTTTTGCTTTCGAAGGTTTCCACAAAATTCTGAACTTCTTGGTGTTCAAAATGTTGGTAGCAGTTGTCCGCGTTCTTGAACTTGTCGCTGCACTTGCACCCCCTGGCCAGAAGAGACCGTAGCCGATCCTGGGCCAATCAGGTTAAACTGTGTAACGTCGGTCAAAGCGCACTTGCTATGGTACTAGCTTAAACGCAGAAGAGAATCTGGGTTGTCTCGTTTAGTTCTTGGCTGCTTCAAGTGCGCGGCCGAATTCAAGGCATTCGCCATAGCAGCTTTTTTGGATCTTTTGGTGTTGTCATACCGCCTCTTTTTCGCAGGCGGATTTGGGTTTGTAGCAGCCCCCTTTCGTAGCAACTCCGTGGACAGGAATGTTGACATGGTTTTCCAGCTGAGGTCGAAGATCCCCTGTTGTTGCTGGATATCCATCTCATCACCCCCTTCCAAACCAGAATCTTCAGCATCAGAAGCAGAAGACCACTCATGAAGGGCAGGTTCGTTGGGCTCATCAGGCTTGTCTGGGCCAGCATTGTCAGGCTCATCAGGTTCAACCCACCCCCCTTCTTCACCAGCCTCCGGCTCATCAGGTTCCTCACCAAGTAGCAACCTGTGGGAAGATTCTAAAGCATGTGGTTCCTGTTCAACTTCATCCGGCTCATCCTGAAACAAGGCATTCATCCATAGCTGCAACAAGTTCCCAACACCCTGAATGTAAATATTCAATCCCTGCAACAATGACAATCAAAGCTGGTGTTTGTTTGACTCCTGTTTGTGGACGGTTTGACTTCTCGAATTCTTGGGCTGAAAATATTGCAAACGCACAGCTTGCAATCTGCTGTGTGCAGTGCGCAACTATGTGCACTGCGCAATGTGTCATGGAGGAACCAAAACAGCTTGAAACAAATCAGCAGTCTCTGTGGCACTTTTCAGTGCAAGATGTCTATCGCTCCAGGCTCCACACAAGGCTGGCGGCGCCCGCAGGCTGGCCTGACACGGGCGGCTTCCAATATGGATGGTTTACTTATTTTTCCGTCATTCCGCCCAGGCCTTGTGAATTCAAATTGCCGGACGTCCAGGAATGTCAGAGCCTTGGCAACAACAAGCCCTCACAAGTGGGTTCGAAACATTTCTGAGCCAATGTGCATCAACTCAGGTGACTTCTTAAAATTGAAGTAAGGAACTGATAGGAGCATAAATCCAGCAGACGCAACCTCCATGCCGTTCCCGGCCATTCTCACCTAGAGAAACATGTCATTCGGATGCAATTGGGCTAACACGCAAGCAGGTGAAATTGACAACGTTCCAAATGCAAAAAAATCAACTACCCGGCCTTGGACCTAGCTGAGAGCATGCTGATGTCCGGCTTGGCAGTGCGTGCTGCGTCGGCACATTGGTCAGTGACTGGTAGGCCCATTCTTAGCTATCACTCAGGGTGTAACATGAGTGGAAACAAGTTCTTGGCTTTTTCAAGTTTCCCCCATAGAATGCTGCCAGGCATCGCTGCCAACATTTCATCACCGGTCAACCACCTCGAGTGCCTTTGTGACCACCTTAACACGGCTCAGCTAGACACCCAGTTGAAGTCCCAACCGGAGTTGAAAAGTATGTATTGGCTGAGGTCAAGGCAAAATGCCAGAAGACGTTGTAAAGGTAGGCATGCTGTTGTCCTTTGTGCTTTTCCTCCCTCGGCCCTTCAATGGATTTTGCGACAAGTCCTTAGCTCGAATTTGCAAGGCAGAAATGATGATGAGTCCTGCACTCACAGCTAATAGGCTTGCCTTGTTGCAAGCTAGCAGCCCAAACCAAAGCAGAAGGGGAATCGTGCTGATACGAGTCCAAGAACGAAGCAGCGGACGGTGACAATGCCAAGTCGAAGCTTTCTGTCATTCCAACTTGGGCAACCTTAGATTTGCAGGTGCTGTGATTGAAATCAGCAAAGTTCTGTTTTTTGAGAAACATTACATACCAGACAAGACGCTAATTCACTGTTTTTCATAAAAAACAGGTCATCAGCTGTCAAACGCAAGGGCGAGGACACGGTAGTCATGGATAGAAGCTCTTTGAGATGAGGCCCAGTCCAACGCATCTTTTTGCTGTAGAACAAGCGGTAGACTCGCCGCCTCAGAAGGGTTCTTATTTGTTGTTCTCTTGCAAGTAACTGAATTGAACCATGTTGCCTATTCAAAGGCTTCCCAAAGTACTGCGGGGTCAGGGTGATGGATTCGCAGCTGTAACCTTTCTGCCCACAAGGCTCTTCGATGAACTTGCTTGGAAACCCTTCCACGTTCTCGTGCAGAAACCAATCTAACCTGAGCCATCATGGGCCCATTGTTGGCAAATCACACAACCATGAATTGATCACATTTTGTTTGGCCCAGCCACTGTTGGTCCATTTTGTCTGCCAAGTACACGTCATGGCAAAGTTCTTTGTGGCGATTGGCCATTCCTTCCCGTTTTCCCAGCCTGAGGTCAGGCCATGCGTTGAACAACCGCCTGTGGGCATGCGTGTTGCAGCTAAATAAGACCCTTGTGGGCAGCCAAGAGGCGCTGAGAACAAAACGCAAGGCGGTCCGTCCATAGCCGCACGCTGGCGGCCCTGCGCCCGAGGTTGCCGGCGCAGGCATGAGCCGCCGTGTGTTTTGCAGGGCACGGCGTTGACCTGGACTTCAGGTGGTCTTTAAATTTCAATCAGGTGGACTTTGACACACACACACAGAGACCATAAACACACATTGAAAGGCAGCTTGGAGGCGAGTTGGATATCCTGCCATGTAGCGCATGAGCTTGGTGATGACGCAAAGTCTAGGATGTTTGTGAAGAGGCAACGGTTTGGATAGTTCGCCTTCAGGTACCTGAGAATTTCTGCAAGTGCTTGTAAGGAAACGGGTTGAGCATTGTGAGGCATGAATATGTGTCATCCAAGTTTCTGTTGCTGAGGACGAGCAACTTCGCAAGCACGCCCTATAGATACCTGCAGTTTCACCCCATACCTTAGGTGCCCAGGGAGGACGGTTGAGCTTGGCTCTAACAAACATTACCAGGCGGAATGGCTTCAAATTGTTCTTTGGCAAACTGCTGAGGCACCTTATGTAGATAGCGGCTTTCAGCTGCTCAAGAGCCACCGCCGCAAAGTCAGCACCGGTGAACCAAGCATCTAAATCCACCCTAGCCCTTGCGAGCTTTGCTTGCCAAGATCTCAGGACCAACAACGCACCTCAGGTTTTACTGAGTTAGTTGTGACACCAGGCAACAGTTCTCACCATCATGCTTCAAAGCCGCTCGAACTGCGCCAGAAGCTTGAGGGCCCACTCGAACAAGTCATAGAAGTCTCCGGGGTTCTCATTCCTGTCAGTGGTTTGGCTGGGGGCAGCCTCAGAGGGCTCGAAGCACAAAGCTTTTTTCTGTGGCCAAGGAGCGGTGGAGGGTCCATAGCTCTGGGATACGGGGCGGTAACAATGGAAGCTCCATCTTGTTTTCCAGGTTGATGACCTTGGATCCCTGCCCCAACAAAAGAAGTATACTTCAATGACATTGACACCCTTTGGCCACTTGCAACCTAGCAACGCTTTGGACCATGTTCCCTCTTTCTTGCTCTTTTTGGGGGCTTCTTGCTTTCATACTCGTTGTCAGCATCAAGTGTATTCTCATCAGGCTCGTCCTGAAAAAGGCAACGGTGGTTTTCACCACCAGGCTCATCACTAATATCCTCGTCGGGCTCGTCCTGGAAAAGGGCCTTTCAAGGATGGCTGTGTTGAGAAAGGGCAAGAAGGACAATGCGACAGAGTCATTCCATGTTGAGGACACTTCAAAGAAGCGCCAGCCTTGAAACTTGATGCTGCAATCCGCTTTCGTGAGGCCATAGCTCATTCAGGGTAAGGCGTGTTCAAGGTGACAATAGTCGCCAGTGAAACCAACTAGGCGATGGCAACATCTAGGATGTCACAGCGTGTGTGTGTGTGTGTGTGTGCTTGTTTCTGTGTGTCTCCTTGAAACTTAGGATGTGTGCTTCACATTCACTTGGTCGTGGTGACCTATTAGCCCTTGAACCCCTGCAGCGTTGGCTTGCAAACGTGCTCCTCTCTGCCATCCCACGCACAGTCGAAACGCTTGCTGCCAGACAAACTTGCAGGTGTTGCCTGCAGCTGGCAGCTGCCGCCAGCAGCGCTCTGCTGCTGTTACGCTGCTGCTGCCCTGCTCCCTTTCAAGGGTCCTTATTAATTCCTAGTGCCCTTTCAGAAAACCTGATTTGAGGGAACTGGGTCCCAACAAGGGTGATTTGTGCGCTTTTGGGGAACAAATCCAAATGAACCGGGATTCAGGATGATGACTTGCAAGCTTCCGGGGGGGCAAACTCTCGACTAAAACTACTGTAAAGCTTGTTGGATTCCATGATTATTCTGCAAGTTTGTGGCGGCTCTACCTCCACGGACTCCACTGCAAAGCTATGATTCAGCATGATTCCCACTTTGTGGGGACAGCTAGTTGTACTAATTAGACAGCTACTTACAACTAATATTACTTCTACGAAAACCGGGGTACCAAACGAGCCACGAAAGGACGCGCCACCCATCCTGGCTCGAGGTTCGAGATGTTCCGGAGGCGGTGTGGCAAGGCGGACGCAAGGCCGGGAGCGACGACGGGGGAAACAGACGGCATGCGCCGTGATCGGAGGGAGCATTTATATGGCGGTGGCTCAAAACAACGGTACCAAAATGGAACCTTGGCAAGCGGAAACATGGACCAAAACCCGCGTAACCCCTCCAGTTCAACTTTGAGCCACAGCCATATAGTACCCTCCATCTCACTAACATGGCACCTCACAGACAGTCCCTTGAATAGGAAAATGATCTTCCCGGTCTGCCACAAATGCTATGTGAGTGGGAGGAAGGATACTTGGTGGTTCTCAGCCATCCGGTTCCTGAGGTTTTTCGCTTTTTAGGTGGTTTAGTGGTATTTCCAAACCACTAAAGGTGTTCGACTTTTGGCAGGGCATTTGGGAAAAGCCCAGAATAGTTTACGCCTGTCATGCATTCGCATTGGAAGTATTCCAGAGCCCTATTCTGATGATTTAGGGTCTTATAGTGCTTTGTGTTAGCGATGGTCGTCAACCCCAGAGGGTTTGTAGTCATGCAGCCATTTTCTGGAAATCCTATGAAGGGAGCTATGACGATGACATGCAGATGCGGAGTTTTGACCTTGGCTCAAATGGCTGTGGGTCAAACACATGTACCAGAATGGCACCTTGGCAAATGGATCCAAACAGGTCCAGTTGTTCAATTTTGAGCCACACCCATGGGTGCTTCTAAGGTTTTGGGGGCCGAAACATACTCACTGCAGAGTTTTGCTTTGGGTATGTTCATGTTGAGTTTGGTTCTGTCTAGTTTGAGAAACGCAAATTTCTTCGGTTCTCCATGAAGAGTCCCCTTTTAAAGAGGGCTTCACAATTAAACGGCCCTACTTCGTTGTTTAGAGTCACTTCTTAGTCGTTTAAAGTCAGTCCTTGGTGCTTATGCCCAATGATATTGGTTTCGATTGCTGCAGTTTCCCCTTCCAGCTTCCGGAGTAGGAACATCGGGATCTGAAGCCTTTGGTTCCCTTCCATGTTGAACCCACCCTTCTGGGTTTGCTTTCGGCATCCCTTGAAAAACACCATGCCAAAAAGGGCACCCTCAACAACAGACATAACCACAGGGAAAAGGAACATGTCGAAAGCCATCAAAAGCCTGAGCTGCGTGAGACGCACTCCCTGAGTTAGTGGCAGGTTCCAAAGTTTGAACTTTCTTTGGGCTCAGATTGAGACTAAGATGGGCCTGGAATCGCGAGGGGCCGACGCTGACCGCGCAGCGGGTCTTCAACAGAGGAGGGCAAGAGGCCGGGCAAACCGCGGCAACCCGGAAGGTGGGGCAAGGAGGGGCACAGGTCAAAGCTCCCTAAGTTGTCGCCGACCTCTCCAGATGAATACCACCACCAATTCCACGTTCAACTGGCGATTTTGGACATCCGAGGGCTTCGAGTCCAAACATCTCATCCCACAGTCACTTTTGTTTTGCCTGAACATGAGGTCCACTCAGCCCAGTGTTTGAACCACATCAATGTCGTTCTTTTTGAGCCCATGGCATCAACCCCTATTTTGTTGGTGACAGCCACTTCCTCCAGATCCACAAAAACGGGGTACCTCCAGAAAAGAGACCCGCCCCACCACAAATCGCTTCCCGAGAAGCTTCAGGAGCTGCTTGCCGCCACCAAGCAGCACCTCGCCATGCTGCCCCCCGAAAACGCCCGGACCCCGGCTGCGCTCCCTAGGCGATAGGCGGTGAACTGGGTCCCAAGTCTGAAGGTGGGGGCTGATTGAGGGCTTCTCAAAATTAGGGGGGGCGGTGTCCCTTTAAACCACCACAGAAAAGGGGGAACATGTCGCTTTTGATGGTTCAAACCACAGACAAGGCAATCGATTTCGCTTTAAAGGGTAGGAGGCTGTCGGTGATTTCCCATAAAATCTAGCATGTGAGAGGTAATCGTGAGGATGTCACTTTACTGGACCCAGGTGCCGACTGCTTGGGGCCACGGTACTCCAAGGGGGCAAATGTGCTGAGCATGCTACAAAGCCGGTACAGCTCACAGCTCCCTTGGCCTGATGACCAGAACTCACGTTTCTAGGATTTGATTCCAAGCATTCTTTTCAGCCATCGTTTGTTTTCCTCTTTTTTATTTTTCCTTTTTGTGTTTTACGAGAGCCAGCTGTTTCGCCCGGGTTTTTGGTTAAGGTAATGCTTAAGGGGAAAATATGGTAGAAGCGGACGTGGGGTTTAGTCCTTTCCGATTGCAATGAGCTCACAGGAGGTCGCTTAGGATCGCGTAAGTTCAGGTTGCGAAAGGTTGATCGAAATTCAACTGGTATTTGCGGGGGAATCGCACCAGAGGGCTTTCTTGGTTGGACGCTCAATCGCCTCCATGAGTTCTTGGACGCTCAATGGCTTCACTGGCGATTCGGGAGGGCGCACATCGCTCCCTTGGAGCCAGAGCATTGGATTTGTTGGTTGCCACTTCTGAGTTTGTAATAGGAATCCCGTAAGGGCAGGAAATTCATTTCGGTAGTCTTGAGGAGAACATGGGAGACACTTCACATGTCGACTGTTCAATGCTGAAGGGGGAAACTTGCAAGCCGAGCTCTGGACCTTTGGTCCATCTGTCAAGGCCTTGGAAGATTCGGACCTTTCGTTTCCTGGCGCTTCGAGTCAGAAAGCCAAGGGATGGCCAAGGCGATTGTTGAGTTCGGGAAGTCCGAGGCTGTCCTTCGGAGACGCATTCAATGCGGGATAAGCCAGGCAAGGAAAGCCGAATCTGGATTATCCATGTCCTGCTTATCGGAAGATATGTTGACCGGCATGTAAAAAGCCCGGCCACCAGAACAAAGCCATGGCCAAAGCTGACAGCTTGGTATTGTCAGTGACTCATGTTATCAGGCTCATGAACCAATTGTCATTTTGATAGCCCTTTGGCTGGCGAGAATGGGGAGGGGGCATATTCTGAATGGATTTGCCCCAGGCCCCGGGAAATATGTCTGTGCTTTTTTGTTGAAAGTACACCTTTGGGGGGTTGGATCAAAGGAAGCCGAAGGCAAAAGCCCAAGTTCATTTGTCCTTTTCGGGGTTGAACAACCCAAGTTCATTTGTCATTTTTGGAGTTTGGTATATATTGACATTGTCTTGAGATGCCAGCAAACCGTGGCTTCTGCAAGGTTTCTTGGGTGTGACATGGGATTCGCCGAGGGCTTGCGCGCCGCCGGGAAGCCGTCGGGCCGCACGGACCGGGACATGGGCAGGCGGGACTCGGGACGGGAGCTGGACCTCGTTTTTTTTCGTTGGTTGGCTTTTGCACGTGGTGGTTGTTGGGAAATATTTTACATGTTTGCTTTTTGCAAAGACACTGGTATGCAAATTTCCCTCCCTGGTTTTTGAAGCCATTATTCAATTTTTGGACGAAGATCGCCTTGCGAACTTTGGTGGTCTGCTAAGATTTGAAGTGTTGCTCCCTTGCAACGTCAACCAAGTAAAGGGAAACCAAAAAGACACCCGAAATCCATGTTTGGGGGGGGCGGATTCCTACGTTAGGACACCCAACTGGCTGAGTAGCCTCTGTTCAAAGACATGTTCAGGTATGGGTTCTGGAGGTAGGGAGGTTATAATCACCACTTGTATAAGTGGTACTGCCTTACAGGCCTATATTGGTGGACCTGGGGATTCAATCGACTGCCCTTTTGCAGAGGCCCCTCCGCCTCTCCTGGAGAAAGGTTAGGACTGGGATCTGACTTCCGCGTTCTCGGGCAGTGGATGTTCCCCACACGACGGGGGAAAGGGGGTTGAGCCATCCACGGGGGTGTCGGATATCACTGTTGGGGGCAGGGCAAAGAAGCCCAAGGAGACGACAGAGGATGCTGGCGTGTCATTTAGCCGGCAACATGTCCCAAGTTGAGAGCCACCTCTGTGATTTCCCTTGCCAGGCAGGGTTTCAATTGACAGGAGGACTGGGTTGGGTTTCGGGTTGGCTGGTTGAGCCGCCAGGCGCTTTGATTGCTCGAGTTTGCGGGGAGAGTCCTTGCGTTTGAGGAAGCGAAGGAAGGTGTCGGCATGTAATTGCAACGTGGACAGGTCCATTCGAAGGAGCCAGCACTTCAGGGCTGGTTGGAGCCCTATTCTCACGTGGCACTTGAGTGGCACCTGTTTCCTTTGGGCTCTCCATAAATGGTCAATGCTATGGGTATCTTTTTTCTACCACCGGCAGCCTTCCGTCCGGCTTAGCGGAAAGGGCGACTTGTTCCTCCTAAAATGAATGCCCCCTTCTTGCTCCCGCTTTTCAGGGTGTTGCCCATTTGCCACCCACGCGTCTCCTGTTCGTACGCTGCCACGTGTGCAGGTTGGCTGCCTTGAATTGCGGCAACAAGCTGAGCCATTGACGGCCGTCTCACAGCTCGTGCCAGGTTGGCACATGAATCAAGGAGCACTTTGGCGAGTCTCAAGTCTCTCGTAGCCAGCAGACCCAAGAGAACTGGACAGTTTGAGAGAAGCCTGAAGGGGGTTTGGGTTAGAACATGCTACTTCCATTTTCGGGGTAAAAGGACCCAACCCACACGTGGCAGGTAGGTTGAACACAGCATCCGGACCAAAGGCCCTGTGATGCGAATCTAGCCCATCGGCTCGTTTGCTGTGGACGCATCCAGGTGTGGCTCGTTTTTTCAAGGGAGGTTCTCCAAACGGTCTGGGTGAATTATAACGACCTCGCACGACCTCACCCCAAATGGTGGTTTATTGGGGAATGTCCGGAGGTTTTCTGGAAAGAAGGATCCCTGGATCTGTAGGCAAACGAAGCCGCATCGTCTCACTAGCCGTTCTGGCAGCCACACAACTGTGGAAGAACATCACGCGGGAGCAGGGCCTTTCGGCGGCTTTTCAAAACACCCTAGACCCGAGCCTCATGAATGTGTTTCCCGTTGACGCGGTTTCTGACGTCTTCTTCTTGACAGTGTTTCAGGGAGTTCCCTGTGGGTGCGTGACCTAGAAGGGGCCAACATAGAATAGAACACTTTTAGCACTGGCTTCTCGTATTGCTCGGTCAAAGGTCAACATACACTTTCGACTATGACTAGGACCACTGACTGCCAATTGGTCGCCAAGCGTACTTGATTTGTTTCAACAGACATGTGCTATCATCGCCACCCGGCACGGCTCTTGTCGTTTAGACCTCCTTTTAAGCTGTTGTTTCTGTGGGAGGTCCTTCTTCGAAATGGACATACCCCTAAGCACTGGTTGTAACAAGCACTGGTTGTAATAGGATGGTTATTCAGGAGTTTAATTAGTCAGTTGAAATCCAGGTATATACCCGAGCGTATATCCTTATACAGATTATATATATATATGCCTTGCAGGAGAAGAATGTTGAGTTCGGGTATTTCAGCTACACTTTTGATTCTGTGGTATCTAACTTGGTCATTTGTGACCGCTGAGCTGCAGGGGCATGACCAATGACCAAGTAATAGAAGAAAGAGCTCGGGAGCTGATCAAAACATGCCCACATTTCTGGAAGAGCAGCAGGACTAAGTTTGGTGTCAATAGCCTGCCTGTTCTGTTGACGGCTTGCTGACAAGAGTCGCGCAATGTTCTCACAGTTGTTGTTTGCTTGCCTGCTTGCCTGCTTGCTTGCTTGTTTGCTTGCTTGTCGTTTCCTTGTTCTGATTTCCAAGTTAGGAACCTCTCCGTTCCAGTTGTTAGGATCAACTGATGTCTCAGGTAACTTTTCAATCGGAGATCCCGAGTGGTTCTTCGGACTGCGCAGGTCTTTATCACTCGAAAGCACCGTCTTTGTATTGCCCGGGACCTTGAGAGAGGTGCCCGCGAATGCTTCACTCACTGTTGGACTTCACAATGACCCTCAATGTTGACGCCGGTTTAATATGCCCGTCCGATTAAAGCAGGGGGCAGGGGCTCCAAAAGTAATGAACCCCCACTAAATGGGAGCACCTTTCAATCAAAATCAACCAGGGGTTCAGCTTAGCTCCGGGGTCAACTCCTGCGTTTGACCATTTTTGTTGCAAAAAGGAAAGTTTGGAGTTGGCCAATGAGGCTCCGCCTCTTTAAGTGATGGATCCCTAGGGAAATATCCCCAACCCCCCCCAATTTTTATTTCCGCAACCTCAACCCCTCAGCTGAACCCCACCTTAACCCCAACCCCATAAACGTGATTTAGGGTCGTACTTGTCTTGGTGCCTACAACTTACTGGGTACAAGTTTGGTCCCTTTGAATTGCTTCAGGTGCTGTCAGAAACGCAGCGTTCTCAAGCAGGGTGGTGCCTTCATGGCTTCCAAATGGTTAGACATGTGGGAGAATAGAAAGACAGCCTGAAGTGTATCTTCTATTTGCTTAAGATTTTGTTTAAGGGAATTGATGACTACTGGACATATATACGTTTTTCCCACCGGGCTTAAGCAAATGGAAGAATAGGATTGGCAGGTTCCACCACTTATTTGCACCAACATGAAAGTGCAGTGACCCCTTAACAAAATCGCAGCCTTTCCTTATGGAAAGGGTTCTCGCAAGCTTCCATATTTGTTGATGGCAATGTGGTTCATTCCACAGCACGTCCCGCTCAAAGTCAGGATAGTTGCTTTGGCGTTTGTTTTTGGGATTCTTTTTTAGCCTTTTTAGAAGGCTTCCCCATGAGTTCATGGAGGTTAACCAAACAACCTGGTGTTGTTTGAGTTTGTCTGGGAGAAGAAGCCTCCAGTACTTTTAAAGCCACACCTCCCCCCCGTATATCAGGGCTTTGACCAGTTTCCAGTAGCATTTCCTGGAGTTGGTTCCACAGAAACAAAGTCAATTGGTGTATCCTTTTTGACGGGGCACCCCCTCTTTTTTTGTTGGTGGAACACCACCATGTCCATTGGGGGGGGGGGGGGCGGGGGGTCCGTAAAAAGCAAAATCGAGTTGGGTGTGGGTCAAAATTAAACCCCCAACCCACAGCCAGTTCATCTTGTTCCTAGTTGGTGGTTTGGATTGGTGGTGAGGTTGGATAGGTTCCACATCAAGAGCTAAGGGCTATGCCTGACAAGTGATTCTGTCTCTTTTGTGGTGTTGCTTGGCCGGGGGGGGATATCCCCAATTGTTTGGGGTTTTACACAGGAAGCCTGAAAGGAAATCTCACCATGTCCATCGTTTCTTCGGTGTTTTTGTTAGTTTTTAGAAACCCAGAGGCTCCCAATGTATTTCAGGCCCTCAAACATCCAGGTTTTGAGACCCCCAAACACCTCCGGGGTGTCTAATGGAGGGGTCGGTCTTCCATTGAAAGCCGAAGCCAGGAGCCTCTGGGTAGTCCGATTCCAACTAAGAAAAGGACGCATCCAACTCGATTTTCCTGTCTGAAGGTCATGGACTACGCCGATGGCGGTGATGTCCACATGAAGATCAAGAGCAGGGAGGTGGGGTCCGGCGACGGGAAGTGGAGTGTTGGCTTTCCCTTTTGCTTCCCTTCGAAAAAATCACTCCGACAACAGCCCAACCCCCGAAAGGAATGGAGTCTTCGGAAGCCTCACTGAAAGCTTCCCCAAACCACCCCAAAGTTTGTTTGGGCAGAGACCCATGGCTTTCAGCTACTGGGGAAACTTCACTCCAGCGACAACACAAAAAGTCGTTTGGAGACTGTGAGCCCTGGACAAAAGACAGCCGCCTTTTTTTTGCGGGTATTTTTTTAAGAATGAGTTGGAGCTGATGTTCCCTGACGGGGCACTCAAGCGTCCAACAAAAATAGGCTGCCTCTTTTTGAACAACCCACAGTGCTACTTTGATCCAATTTCTTTGATTCGGCAGGCAATCTCAAGCATCAGTTGGGGAGGTGTCTGCAACACTTTTCTCTTGTCAGGGGTTCTTGTATTCCCCGTCTTTGAAGGTGTGGTGATTTGAAGTGTTTCGGGACCGTTTTTTGTTTGTTTCCCCTTGTAGGTCTCACGTATTTTGTCTCACTGCCTGAATTCCTGGACTTTATAATTTTTGGGAAGACCATTTTAGTGGAACAAAAGGTTTGGACTTTTTCTGGCCGGTCGACTCAAGTGAGGTTGTCTTGAGGAACCTGGACTCATCGGAATTTCTTTCATGATTTACAAGAAGCAAAGTCTGGTGCTGTCCTACCAAGAGTTGTAAAGTAGTTTTGCAGGACATACACATTTTTTGACAGCGACTCCGGTCGTGTTGACAGCAGTGTACCGGTTCCGAACAGGCCCAATGAGTGGAAGTCGAAAAAAAATGAGTGGAAAATCGGCGGGAAATGGGCTGAAACTGGTGGAGACAGACCAGAACAAATGTCCCATTAAGTGTTGTTTTGCTATCTGAGCGTTTTCGGCTGAAATTAGCATTGTTTGTGCTCGAAACGGAGCACACAGAAATAATGCCCAGAAAAGACCTATGGGTTGTGTTGTTCCCCCTTTTCCCCTGGAAAGCGACACCACAGGATAGGTTTTTTCTCTCCCAAGATGCTATTGGTTCCAGGAACCTGATCCAGGTAGGGTATTTCTTTGTTCCAGACACGCCTTCAAGCTCGGTGGGCGGAAATGTCGGCCGATCGCAGGGCAGGCTGCTGCCAGAGGCCAGGTTGGGGGCTGTAGGCTAGGGCCCTTTGGGCCATGCCCAAAATGGGTGTGAAAAATGGGTGTGTCTCATAGGGGGTTCGGGCTGGGGTTGGGTGGGGCTTGGGCTTGGGGTTGGGGTTGGGTTGGGTGGGGGTGGGAACCTTTACAATGGGGAAGGGTGTATTTTCTGTTGGTTTCCCCTCAAAACCACGAAAGAAGTACCGTGCGACAAAGACACCCAAATAGGGGGGACCCTACAGATTTGTCTTTCCTGTTTGGTTCCCTTTAAACCAATCACAAAGGGTAGCCTTAAACAAACACTCGAACATTTAGGTGAACCAATTTATTCTTCAAACAGCGCCCCACTGGCCACTAGGTGTTAACTGGAGCTGTGGGTCTTAACTATTTTCCCTGGCCGGATGACTGAGCAAGAGTCTAGCGTTCAAACAGGAGAACACGGACTGGGGAGGCTTGGCAGCGTCACCGGCGAGCAAGCACTGAGTCCTAAGTTACCTAAGCATGTGTTGCTTGCTTCAATGGACGTGTATCTTTGTTGAACCCACCGTTTTCAGGGGAAACCGAAATGAACACCACCATTGGCTACCCCTATTTTGACACACACCCATAATGGCTACCCGCATTGGGCATTTGGGGGAGCCAAATGCTGCGAGTGCCTTGAACACCGCCCTTCAAGCCGTGTCTTAGGAGACATGTCTTTGGTGCGTTTTGCTTGGATGTTGGGAGTTTGACTTTTTGCCAACTAATACGTTTTCCATTAAACCACTAAAAGTTGAACTGTTAGCAAGCATTTCTATGAGCGCGGAACCAAGCTGTGCAGTTT